TCCGGGTCTTGGGTATTGAGAATACGCGCTTCGTGCCTGCAGGCTGCTGTAGAATACACACCCCTGAGTAAGGCCTCACCATGATAATATAATCGGGATGTTAGCATTGAGAGCCAAGAAGAGTATCAAGAGTATGTATATTATATTATCTGTCCCCAACAACGTATAAGCCCAATACAACACTGTAAAACCCCTTACACACAAATAACACACTTCAAAAAACACTACCTAAACCTGCATGAAACGCTGACAAGGGTTATACTCAGCTATACAAAGCCGAGGAGAACACCAAATAATCCCTGATAGAAGAATCACCACAAACACCGAGAACCTCGAAACCCTCAACCCTCAACCGTAAAACCCTAAAAACCCACAAAGCCACGAAACACAATAAAACCCTAAACCCTCAACCCTCGACCCCAATAAACCAGCCCGAGCGGCCCCAGGTCCTTTGCAGCCAGTCGCCCAGCCGCTCGAAGATACCTCTTGGCTAAGGATTAAGGATAAAGGAGATGGAGGTTTCCGAAAATGGGGAACCCTAATACTAGTACACTAAATAGCGGGACCCTTATCCTACGGACCGCGAAATCAGGTACCCCTAATTTTCGGAAACTCCCAGATTAGGATTTAAGGATTAGGGCCGGGTTTGGGGTTTAGGGATTAGGGTTTAAGATGCCTTTGCATCTAGGCCTTGTATCAGGCGGGGGCATTTAAGTGGGATTTCGAGCGGTATATAGGATTCGGGGAATAGGGTACCAGAGCGAGTATATAGGGTTGAGGGCTGTGTAGGGTTAGCTAGGCTTTAGTATGCAGTTGATTGGGGTGCAGGGTCTGGGGCCTCCGTAGGCTTAAACGCGCAGGGCCCAGGATTCATAAGTTCATAAGGCTTGCTTTAAAGGGCCTTTGCATACGGGTTTAGGGTACCGGGTCTTTTTTTTTAGGGTTTAGGGTACCGGGTCTAGGTTTTGGGGTTTACGGGCTCATAAGGGCTGGGAGTCTCACCGGCTTAAGTATGCAGAGGTCCGAAGAATTAGCAACATCCCTGCTGTTTCGCCTATAAATGTGCTATACGGTACCCCAAAACCCCAGACCCTGATTTGGGCGCCTCAACAATTAGCATACAGTTTTGGGGCATATTGCCATACACTTGTGATAAGGACGGTAATAATACGGGGATGGTTTGTCCAACTATCCGACCCTATCAAACCTAAACTCTAAAGCCCTAAACTCGAAATCTCGCCCCACCCCCCACCCACCCGGCCTCCGTGGTTTTTGCCGCAAATCTCCACGAGCCCCAAACTCCGGATTTGCACCAAAAGGTGCGGACACCTGCTGGTGTCGGAAATTTGGGATTTATTGCATTAGTTCATAGTGCTCTGTAAGGCTTTGGTAAGAGAGTTTCTAGGCATCATGTTTAGGCACCCTGTGTAATGGAGACTTGTTTGTTTCGACGATTTATGATAGGGGCTCCCTTTTGGTCTGGAACTAATATCCCTAAACCCTAAACCCTAAACCCGATTTATGATAGGGGGTCCCTTATGTTCTGGAACGAATATCTGGCCTCGAAGGGGGCTTCGAGGGCTTAGGGAATAATAGGGTTTAGGGTTTAGGGTTTAGGGTTTACCTTGTTCAGGGTGCATGAAGGCTTTGCAGGTTTTCACAAGCGTTTGACTTAACGTGACTTTACAGTTCCAACAATACATATGTGCTAAAGCCCTATTCTTACCATTCCGAACCCCCAAGCCCAAACCCTATGCCTATACCTTATCTTAGAGTTGCGGGCTTCGCGTTGGAGGACTCAGAGTCTATGGGCTTCGGGTTTAGGGGTTGGGGGTTGTCAAAATTGACGTACACATAGGGACTGTTAGTTACCACTGCTTCTATTTAGACCTCTGAAAGCCAAGTCTCAGATAGTCTGCAAGACCTCTCTATGATTTGCCGGTGGGAAATCTCGATCGGGAGGTCTCTGCTTCAGTGACCAAAAGCGAGGCCCCTCGAACATCAGGGGCCGGATAATACCAGAGCCCCCCTGATTCTGTTTAGCTGTTTTCGGATCTTCTTGGGTAGTTTCAACCCAAATCCTAAGCGCAAACGCCCTTCTTAGCTCAACCCCTGCCCTGAGAAGCCACAAAACTTGTCTGGTGTTGGAATGGAGTTTGGTGTGGTTAATTAGCAGAATCCGATCGCAAACGAAGAAAAGCAGCTACGAGTGATTCCTTCCGAGGGCCCCGATCCCAACCCCCTGGAAGCATGCCTCGTTCGCGCGTCGAGGTCCGCCAAGAGACGCCTTTAAAGCCGAAAGGAGAAGCACCCCGAAAGCATGTGAGCGATTGACGTGACGGAGTGTGTTCAGGGATTTGTGTTCAGGGTTAGGTCGAGACTTCCGGCTTTGGGGTAATCCAAAACACTCAACATCCCCCACCCCCAAACCCTATTTAAAACACAAACCCCGAAGCCATAAACCCCAAAAGCCCTGAGCCCCTAATTAAAACTGTAAACCCCGAAACCCCCCATGCTTCCGAAAAAGAGACTCCGAAGCATTCTTATAGAAACCTTGTAGAAACCCGTAAAGCAACCCTTACAGTAGCTTCCGAAAGTGAAACTCCGGACGCATTCTATTTCAAACCTTATAGAAACCCCTAAAGTAACCCTCACAGTAGCTTCCGCCTTATAGAAACTCTTAAAGTAACCCTTACAGTACCTTCCGAAAAAGAAACTCCGGAAGGATTAGAGCCGAATCGCTGCTCCCGCAGCCAGCGCTCTCGCTCAGAGGCTTCGGCGCTGCGCAGTTGGACCTGAAGCTTCCCCAAGTTTGTAGGTTTAGGGTTTAGGGTTTAGGGTTCAGGGTTTAAGGTTTAAGTTTTTCCCTAAGGGTGCAAAGGACCCAATAATTACGTACTCGGCTTTAGCATAGCAGTTATGTAGGCCAATATTTTGGAGAGTATATGATAACTAGCTACTTGGACATCTAGGGTCTTAGAAGTATATTATGGGTATTATTGTTTGTAACGGAATATAGTACACTGTAGTGCAGAAGGATGTGAAGTTTCGGCCCAAAAAATGTTGAAGTATTCTGGAGATGAATTACACGTGTAGTTTTTTTATGGACTATGGTAAAATGGAGGACACTACAGTGAAGCATATGTTAAAGAACTCTCGCATGTTTTTTTTATCTTACGTTAGAGTATCTATAATAAGGGTTCTGTTTAAACATGTTTTATTGAAAAACATTTGAAGGGTTCTGCCAGGATTCTATAAAGATATAAAATGAGCCTTTAATGGTTGGAATGGGGCTTCCGGCATGAAGTATTTTGTACTAGCGAACCTTTAGGTTTTCCCTTCTTTCAGGGCTTGCATTAAGCTTGGGCACAAGGGGTTTGGCATTAAGGCTCCTGCTGCCTAACCCTAAACCCTAAACTCCAAATTTTTTTGGTGGCTCAATTAGCTATATTGAACTTAGACCCCGCAAAATTCGTACTTTTTGCTGTTTCTTCTAGCTACCCCAAAGTTAGGGTGTGGAAGCTCAAGGATTTGGCTTTAGGCTTTAGGATTAGGATTTCGGATGCTTTTTCCCTTTTCGGCCTGTGCCCTCCGCCGATTTTGCGGATAGCGATAAGGGTTTGAGTTTGGAGCTTCGCGGTTCGAGTTTAGGGCGAAGGGTTTGGGTTTTCGGGTTTAGGGATTTAGGGTTTAGGGGTTAGGGTTTAGGGGTTTAGGGTTTTGGGGTTTAGGGTTTAGGGTTTAGGGGTTTAGGGATTTAGGGTTTGAAGGCTTCAGGCTTGAGGACTTATAGGTTGCCGGTGTAGTTTCAGCTGCGAGTGCAGGAATCCGGACGGAATGCCGGACAACACCCACTAAAAAGAACGCTTACAGAACCCTTGAGACCCTAAACCCTGAACCCTTGAGACCCTAAACCCTAAACCCTGAACCCCAAAAGAACCCCGTTAAAGTAAAGCAGGCCTGCAGCTCTCGCCGTTTCTTGCCACGTGAAAAGGCGACTCCCATGGCTCTCGATCCAAGCTAAGACGGCCGCGGGCAACTGAGGGGGTACCTGGACCCTAAAGAACCTACCGTTTTAGGGTTCCGGATTATGATCTCGGAAGTCCCAATAAAACACTAGCTTCCTCAGCGTCCTCAGGAACCTTGCCATGGAACTCCAGGGTGTCATTACCAGGCACAGTGCCTGATACATCCCGACACCTACATAAAAGGTCCTTCGGGATAAAGCTAAAACGAATGAAAGTTTACCAGATCAAACTCAACACGAAGTTGGCAAGGTACTGAACCGTTTAGGTGGCTAGTTACTTGCCCGAATCCCTTGTGCAGTTATGCACGAACGTTTTTATACCATCAGTAGTGCTTTTGAGATTCGTATACGGACAAAGACAAACATACCTTGCCTGTCCATCCAACAACATTGACATATATGTGTATACTTGTGCATGAAATTGAAACGATGCAATATCCTCTCGCAAGGAAAATGCTGCTTATCGCTATTGGAAAGCGCGGAATCATCTCTTTGCGCCAAAGGCTACTTCTCACGGACACAAAGACGAAGCTCGTACAGCCCCCAAAACGGGTAGTCGGCACCCACAGGTGCTAAGACGCTAAGACCAAACTCCTAGAGTGCCGGGGCCCTAAGCCCTCACCTCTAAACCTTCCTTAACCTACCAAACCCTAAACCCTATAGGGTTTAGGGTTTATGGTTTAGGGTTTAAGATAAAACCTAATATGGAATTTATAGGGACCCTACAAAAAAATAGGTTTTGGTGGGTTGAGGTTGATCAGAAACCACTGGCGCAAGAAGAGTAAACCTGCCGGGCCGCAGTCCCGAAACACCAAATGGGAGTTTCGGAAATTTAGAGTTGCCTGGACCTTATTTTGGGGGCCTTATACTAAGGATCCTACTATTTAGTGTACTATTTTAGGGTCCACTATTTTCGGAAACTCCCAAATCCTTCGAACACTTTTCGCAGGAAAGGAGAGCTTGAGGCCCGCACTGCAGTTCGGATCGCAGCCCTCGGCTGCCTCGAAGGGCGGGCTTTGTGGAGGTCTTTCGGATTTTGGACGGTTGTAGTGCGTTGCTTATAGGGGGTTTATAAAGCCCCAATCATCCCATGAGCCGGAGGCGGGATGAAGGTAGGATTGAGGGTCCCTCATAATAGAAGGACTCTGAATTTGGATCATAGCTTCATCCAACCCTTGGAGAGCTTTGCCTCAGCCTAATCCCCACTAAACCCCCATAGGCAAAACCCCTTTTGGCCTCCTATGGTAAACTGGCGGAGCCCCTGTAAACCCCAAATTCCCAAATGGATCCTAGCCCTGCATTGGACCCGAACCCCCAACTGCAACCCAAACTACATCCTAGAAGCCCTACCCTAATCCTAAATATTACGGTTCTTGTTAAGGGATATGACTTATGTTACCATAATAGGGATCTACAGTAAGTAATATGGGTTCCTGAACAAGAACCCAGGAAACTGTAAAGAGTACCCTTAATAAGGACCCCTAGGTATAGACCCTTAATATAGCTATTATATACCCATTATATATAGCCCATTATAGGGTAGGGGTCCCCATTAAGGGTCCGTCCCTTCCCCCTTTGAAAGAGCCCAGGAGACCGTAAAGAGAACCCTATGCCGATCCGAGCCCAGGGCCCCGTTCTGACATTCGGCGGTCGTGACCCAGGGCCTCGCCGGTAAAAGGGCTTAGGCTTTAGGGTTCTAGGGGCTTTAGGGTTTCGGGATTTAGGGTTTAGGGATTTAGGGTTTAGCGGTTTAGGCTTTAGGGTTTTGGGGCTTTAGGGTTCAGGGATTTAGGGTTTAGCGGTTAGGGCTTAGGCTTTAGGGTTTTAGGGGCTTTAGGGTTTAGGGATTTAGGGTTTAGCGGTTTGGGTTTTGGCTTTAGGGGTGTAGGGGCTTTAGGGGCTTTAGGGGCTTTATTGGCTTTAGGGATTTAGGGTTTAGCGGTTTAGGGCAGGGCCGTCTTGTCTGTTTCCGTCTAATGGGATTCTCGATTTTCGGTCTCTATGGGACAGGACTCGACGGTCCGATGGGTGCAGGGTGCCGGGCTTGAGGGTCGGTTTAGTAGAGGACGGGACGGGGCTAGGGTTTAGGGGTTTCCGTTTGGGGGTTAGGGTTCAGGGCCTTAGGGCTGTGTTTTTTCGAGCGTAAGGGTGGTCGGGGCCTTCCGGTCATCCTCTCAAGTGTCCGGGGCTTGGTTTAAGGATTAGGGGCTCAGGGTAGGTTTAGGGCTTAGGGTCTAGGGGTTTAAGGGCTGAGGTTTAGGGTTCAGGGGGTTAGGGTTTATAGGGTTTAGCTGAGGAGTTAGGATTTAGGGGCGTCTCGAATTAGAGCCGCGGAGCTCAAGGCATTGCATCCCCCGCAAGCTGCTCAAGGCAGCGGGAACGGCACCATAGGGTTTATGGGAGGCATTCATTCACAGGTTAAGGATTCCAAACCTAAGCCCCAAACATTCAAGGTGAAAACATCCAAATATGTCATAGTATCTTAATGGTATAGTATAGTATGGTATAGTATAGTATGGTATAATACATTAATCATAGTGTATTCTGGCGAAGGTAAAGCCAGCTGACGGGCGTTTGATGTTTCGGCGCCACTGTGGACTGCATGCTGCAAGGCTGCGGCTGGCGAGGCGACTCTCTGCTTGCATGCTATGGGTGCCTTAAGAATTGGAGTAGGGTTCCCTTACAGGGTTCCAGTTAGTCATACTATAAGGATACTACAAGGGCCTTGGTGATTAGAATAGGGTTTCGGTGCCTTGTAGTATCGAGATAGTCTGAATAAGGAGCCCTAGGAAAAGTCTTGGTAATTGTTCAGACTCCTGCACTATATGCTGGTAAAATCATATTTACTACGCTCCCTGCCAGCCCTGCACCCCAAAACTAAACCCTACACTTCAAACAACCCTCAACTCCAAATAACACCCAAACCAGAACTGAACCTGAACCAACACCCTAAGCCAACCCTGGATGCGAACCATCCGAACGTGAAGCCCAGCACACAGGCAAAGAATTGCACCTCGAGCAGAGAGCGACTTCGTCCCCACCTTGCGCCTGCAGGGAAAGCCCAATAAAGGGTATTTGGGAGTTTTGGAAAATTAGGGTACCTTATTTGGGGGTCCTTATATAAGGATCCGACCATTTAGGGTACTACATTAGGGTCCCCCATTTTCGAAAACTCCCATCTTGGGCTCTTTTCAAGGGTTCGATAAGGGTGGTCTCGGGGTTGCGATTGGTTTTTCCTCGGCGGTGCTGCACCAACCAACTTCAAGTATCGACGTAGCAAATCATCCTGTGTTGCTCCTGCCGCATTTTCGGCTCTATGGTTCTCACCGTTGCAGGCTGCAGCAGGCCTGTTGTTTGCCGAGCCTGTCTGATGCCGTTCACCTGTCCTCTGCGGTGGCCTATCCTATTGCATCTTGGGCTAAGGGCGGGCCTGGCTGCTGGACACCGTAACCCTCAAGCCCATACCCAGAGAGCCCAATGCCCCTTAATAAAGGAATATGGCTTAAATCATAATATGAACCCCTATATAATTTAAGCCATATTCCTTAATTAAGGGGTATTGGGCTCTCTGGGTAAGATGAACCCTTAAGATCCTCGACCCCAAACTCTATTAACTCGCAACTTTGAACCTCGACAAGCCCGGTAGAAGTTGGTTTCAACCCCATAGCTGCCATGGTAAGCCCATGTACCCAGAGAGCCCAATACCCCCCGAATTAAGGAATATAGCTTCAATCATAAGGGGGCGCATAGTATGATTTAAGCTATATTCCTTAATTAAGGGGTATTGGGCCTTCTGGGTAGTCCCCAAAATCCACAGAAACGAAAAACCCAACACCCCCTAAAACCCAAAATACTCTTAGAACCCTAAAGCCCGCATGGATCCCGTAGACCTTAGACTCCGTAATACAGGGATAGGGTTTGGGGGCCCCTTCTGCTATCATCGTAATAAGGAAACTCCCAACGATAGTATAATTAGATAACTACTCAAGCCCCTATATTAGACCCCCATACTACCCCGTATAGTAACCCTAGGAGGACCCTATATATTGCCCCTTATAGTAACCCCAATAGGACCCTATAGTACCCCTTATAGTAACCCTAGTAGGACCCTATACCAGACCCCCATAATACCCCTTATAGCAACCCGCTAGTAGGACCCTATCCCCTTAGCAACCCCACAATACCCCTTGTAGTAACCCCCTAGTAGGACCCTATCCCTATACCAGACCCCAGAATACCCCTTATAGTAACCCCCTAGTAGGACCCTCGACTTAGAGCTTCAAAATCCCTCAATTCCCCAAGGTTCTGACCTCAGAGCCGCCCCTACGGTGCGGACCTCGGATGAGGATTTCGGTGTACCTATAGTCTCCATTGTAGTTCCTTTTTTTGGGTTAACCAACTTTATATTAAGGATCCTAAAAGGTAACCGCAAGAAGGAACTACAATGGAGACAATAGGTAGGGTTTAGGATTTCCGTTCAGGGTTTAGGGTTTGGGGGTTTGGGGGGTTTAGAGCTTTTCTGTTTGAGGGTTTAGGGGTTTTTCGGGTTTAGGAGGCTTGATTTTGAGGGTTTGGGGTTTAGGTTTTGGGGTATATACAGGGTTTTTGGGTATTTGGGCTGTAAGGTCCACAAGGTGTCAAGGATCATCAATGACGGAGGGGTTTGAGGCTTCAAGGTGTCATTCAAGGGTTTCCGTTGTTTGGAGCATGTGCTGGGCTAAACTCCAAAACCTAAACCCGAAATAAGCCCAACTATTGGAAACTATAAATTACTCGGATGTGCGACACGTGAAGGACCGGATGGTTCGAAAGGAAGTAGGCCGTCTGCATGTGGGGTTGACGATTCTTGCTTCAGGCTGTAGAGAAGTGGCAGGGCAGATGTCAACCTATCATAGCTCCCATAGTAAGTGTCCGTGCACGGGGCCGGGAGAAGAGGATCATGCAGCTTCTGACGCCAGGTTCTCTGAGCAGCCTGCCGCCACGGTGGGCCCATCTATGTACCTCAGCCACCGTCGCAGATAGCTGAGATAAGGGAAGCTCTAGTCTTGGCATTTAGGTTCAGTATATTTACAGGGAACTTCAGAAAGTTGGAATATGGTTTCATGGTAGGATACCCTATAATTTCCCATAGAAGGGTTAGGATATTCATATTCCAACTTTTGGGCTTTTTACCTTATGAGCAGAACCCCAAACCCAACACCCTAAACCCTGAAAAGCATCGGAGCTCTGGCTTCGAAGCTTGTGCGACCCTTCGAGGTCTTCGGCTGGCGAAGCAGCCAGCATAAGACATGATTCTGCATGATGTCTACGGTTCAAAGTGTTTCTTCTGGCTCTTGCGTTTAGGGAGCAAGGATTGCGTGTTTGCTCATGAAAGTGGTAGAAGTAGTAATTCCTGACGCGTGAGGCTTACAAGGTTACCTTCCGAAATGAACAGTTCTCTACATTGGGCCCAATTGTGAGTCCCCAGTATAGTTCGGCTCCCAAATGAACAGGGCCCCAAAATGGACCCTAAATTTAGAGAACTACCCAACTTGATGTCAATGCAGGGCCCAGTCTTCTGCGTCCGAAAGCTCTGCAGAATTGGGTGTGAATAGGTCCATCTACCAAGTCTCGATCTATCCATCTATCTATTTGTCTTTCTGTCTATATGTCTACCTGCCTTGTCTAGCTACTGTAGCTAGGTTAGGTATCTATCGGATCATGTACATGACCCTCTACTTGATCCGAGGCCCCTGAACCATCAATCCCTTTGACCCGCAATCCCCGAATCTGAGCACGAGTCTGAAGAAATAGTGATACTATTCCCATATCATTTTAGTATATTATACCCAAAACCTAAATCAAGATGCAGTCTCATCCTGAAGTACCTGACCAGCTTTTTGTTGCACCGATGGTGCCTCAAGCTTTTTAGGTCTTATATCTGGATAATCCGCAGAAATACAAAACGGGTGAGACGAGACAAGCTTGTGTGTCGGCTGCTTTGGACGCCCAAAAATAACACACAAACATCAGGATCCCTTTCATGCTGCTCTAGCACTCTAGGAAGCTCGAATAGAGTTCCTGATACCACGGAAAAGGGATCCTCGTTCATGCGCTTCTTTTCCGGGCCCACTGCTGTCCCTACTTACCGGAATATCCTGCCGCTGCTTTCCTTGGATGGTAGGACTTCAGCACATCCACGACGGAGGGATCTGCGAGGGTGGAGGTGTCCCCGAGGTCCTGAAAGGGGGTTGGCTGAGGAACAAGGTAGTTTAGGGTTGAGTGGGTGGTCCAACACCCTAAATTGTACACCCAGAGGTGGTATGAAGTTGATTTGGGAAGTTGAGTCTACGCAGGATATCTCCAGAACTTGGGTGGAATCTCATCAAGGGAGGGCGCAGACACGTTTCAGTCTGACTCACGCCCGACCGCACTGTATGGCACACATCAAGATATGCTGTAAAATGAAAAACATATCTATGTTTTTTGCCTCATCATGTATAACTTTCACCCTATACCAGAGCCACTAACGCTAGTTTTGTTTTGTGACGAGTGGCTCCTTTTGTTCATCGCTTGTGTTTCTGTGTTCTACATCGTTTCTTGGCTTTCCACAAATCATCGTGTTTTCTATAGAAAGCGCTTAACAAAATCCTGCCCAAGGGCAGTGTAAACATCTATAGCCTATAGCACTACACGCCCCTGTAGCACCTTTCAGGTCACTCTGAACCCCTAACCTTTCTCTAAACCCTAAACCCTCACATTCCACCTCACGCTAGACCCTAAACCCTCACCATTCAACTCGTTCTAAACTCTACAGACTCTATCTACACCCTCACCTTTCAACTCACTCTAAACTCTTAACCCTCACTCACCTTCATCTCACTTAAAAGCCCCAAACATCCCTGAACCCTCAACAACCCATAAAGCCAACCTCAAGCTCTAATCTCTAAACCCGAAACAACCCATCAACCAACTCTAACCTCTAAACCCTGCACCCTCAACCCATAAAACCTAAACCCTAAACCCTAATCCCTTAAAACCACTTTTAAACAACCATCGTTCGGCCTGCTTCTCGTAGTCCGGTAGCGCGAGCTTCCGGAGGACTCTTCGCCTGGGATCGGCCAGGTGGATGGGTTTCTCAACTGTCTAGGGCCGTTTAGGGTTTCAACTACGTAGCTAAGATTTAGGGTTCAGGGTTTAGGGCCGTTTTAGGGTTTGGTGAGGTTAGTGTTTAGGGTTTAGGGATCAGGGTTTAGGATTTGGGGTTCGGGTTGCACTTTTACGCTATAGGGTTCTACAGGTTCTTTCAGATTTCAGGTTCGCTAGAGGGATCTAGGGTCGGAGGGTTTCGACGAGTTTTGGGAAGGTGAGGCTGAGGATTGGTTGAGGCTTCAAGATTCAGACTTTGCGTCCTTGTTCGTCTTCATATGGGAGTTTCCGAAAATAGGGGACCCTAATATAGTACCCTAAATAGTAGGATCCTTTTATAAGGACCCTCAAAAGAAGGTACCCCTAATTTTCGGAAACTCCCATATGGGTGGTTGTCAAAATTGCTGTAGGGTGCCTTTTTGGGTCCTTATTACAATACGGCACCTAATGTGTAATGACATCTGCCCATATCCTCGTAACTCTTGTTTGTTCTGTCCCGTCTATAACCTTTCTCAGGATCCTGCTGCAACTGGGTCTTTGCAGCTTTAATTGTGACTATGGACATCCACATCTCTTCTTCACGTCGAACTTGCATTCCAAGAAATTTGCTGCCACTCCTGCTCCTCCTCGTACCACACCCAGTCGCCAGGAGTGCTAGCACTACTGCACTGATGCTGACTACTGTAAGGTTCCTTCTACAGCCAAGAGTAACACAACCCAGGAATATACACATGCACTTGTGTCCCGCACACTCTGCCAGGCGGCATACCTTAATTAACAAAACCCTAAACCTCAACTTCAAACCAAAATCCTAAACCCTAACTTCAACCGTAAAGCCTAAACCTCTAACTTAAACACTAAGCCCCAAAACCTTTTTCTCCGCCAGGCGGCATGATCTTGCACCATAGCACCCTTATAGATCCCTTATAGTAGCCCCTTATAGGAAGGAGCCCTATTCTACATCTGATACTCCGCCAGGCGGCATGATCTTTCCGGACCGTGTCTTTGGCAGACCCGGGGCCCAGTGGATCTCGTCAGGCATGGCAAAAGCTCCAATGACCTCCCGAACCTGGAAACGTTGAGGGTTAGTTTAAGGCTTAAGGGTTACTATAAGCTTTGAAAAATAAGACTTGCTACGAGGGTTTAGGGTTTAGAATTTCGGGCTTAAGGGCTGCAATTTTTCGGGTTTCCGAGGGTTTTAGATTTAGGGGTCTGGGCTGGGATGCTGGATTTTAGAGTTCAGGCCTACGTGAAACTTTGCGAACCGCGCCTAAGGTACCCCGGACATGACAATGCCGCCACATTAAGACCCCCCAGACCTTCCAAAATCCCTTAATTAAGGAATATACCTTAAACTATATATAATAGGATCCCTAATATGAAATAAGGTATATTCCTTAATTAAGGGATTTTGGAAGGTCTGGGCCTCTTTGGAGCCGTCGGCCAAGGCCCCCCCCAGTCCTAAATCTGAAGGTTAGGACGTCTTGGGCCTAAGGGTTCCTTTAAAGGGCTCTATGAGAGTTACTATAAGGGATTTGTAAGGGTACTTTATGTAGGAACCTGATTAAGAGACCTTGGGCCTTTATTAGAGCTCCTTGTTTGAATCCTACTATTTTGGGGTTACAGGCCCAGGGTTTCTTAATCAGGTTCCTACGATACCATAATTAATGCTCATGATACGGATGCACATACGTATGTGTGTGTGTGTTCTTTCACAACTAGGCTCCTAGACCTTAAACTCTTAGACCCAAACGGATTTTAAGCATGGGCCTTGTCTTGTTACGCGCTTCTCTCATCCAGCAGACCTTATAGAGAAATCTCTAGCTGTTCTAAGAGCCCTGCCTAAGAGCCATAAAGCCCTGTAAACCTAAACCACAAACCCTACGAAAACCACTTACACAGTCTCCCTCATTTCTTGTAGTAGACCAAAGCTCGTGAATGGGGATGAAGCTTGCAAGAAATCTTGAACAGCAGAAACTTCAAAACACCCTTCAAACCGCTTGTACCCTCCACTACAGTACGCCGTGGTCTATGAAGGTGAACCTTGGGGTACCCGAAAGAAGAAACGCGACATACTGTCCACGAGGTCTATAAGACACCTTTGGCCAGATGAGACCTTGTTGAACCAGAAAGGCCAAAGAACAACAAACCTTGAAGCCTAAACTCAACGCTAATCCTGCAGCTTGAAACCACTCCTAAACCCCCAAGCCGCAAAACGAGACCCTAAACCCCAACGGCGTATGAAGTTTCAGACAATGAGATGGACCCGAAGTTCAACCCAAGAAATAGAATCCTTGCCATGAGAAGCCCGCTTTTCAAGGTACATAGTACTATGTCGCAAGCCCCCAGTTTTGAGCTATGCTTAGATTTTCCCGGTGCCCTGCCTGCTTCTTGAGATCAGCTTTCAAACTGTCCTCGTCAAACACCGCTAGCAGATCGTAAGCACCGATATCTTGGTAACTAGAGGATGGAGAGGATGGATACTATATAGGGCATACCATAAGGTCACAAGTTGGGGTTTGGCAAGATCGATACGGTTTCAGCATGGGCGCCTGAAAAATGGAGCATGGATTGGCACTCAAAGCTCTGCTGAGCTTACTTCGGCACTGGGATTGAGAATTCGTGTTCGGGGTAAGTCGCCCTTAACTTGTTTGGAGCATTTTGGAGGCCTTGAAAATTGCATTGGGTGTTGGTGTATACCGTTGGGTCAGTATCTAGGACTATAATAGGATGTTGTTGCTACATGTACTTATTCAAACCTCTATATGGAAGCTTTGAGTTTAGTGCCTACGGCTTAGTTTACCGGCCAGTGTTCAGGGTTTCGTTGAAGGACTTTAGGGTGTTTAAGCCTCTTTGGGGGGAAGATCACACAATAACATAATACACATGGAACCTTCTCAAAAGGCACACCTGAATTAAGCTTGAAACATGCAACTCAAAGCCCTCTGGTATTCCTCCGAACCCAGAGCCCTAAGCCCCAGAATCCGGAACACTCAACACCCACAGCTTTCCAGGTTCTAGCTTGTGCGCCCTCAGAACCAGTAAACATACTTGGAGCTTCTGTGAATTTCATGATTCCTAACCCCTAAAAGCACTGCAGGACTACTGAAGGTAATATAGGGGCCAAAATAATCAGGATAGGGTTTTGGGGGGGCCATAATGATACTTTATTTCTAATACGGAAGCCCGACAAAATACTACAGGTACGTGTTTAGGCCCCCTATATTAGAGGGAGCCAAGGCTTGCCCCGGTCCTCGTAGGCCTCACCCTCGTTCAGGGTCACGTAGCACCAGATGCCCTCGCCCTGTTGCAGATCTAGGCTTCAGGCCACAGGGATGCCTAAACCCTAAATCCTAAACCCTAAACCCATAAACCCCAAGCCCCCTAAGCCCTAAACCCTAAATAGGGTGCTCCGGGCTCAGGGTAACACTAGGGGTTCCGGGTTCCACGACTTACGTAGATATTCACAAGGAGTAGGACCTTGAAAGGGTTTAGGGTCAAGTCTCAAACCCAGCCGTCAAGTGATGCGGAACAACCTTACAGCTGGCCCCGGCAGTTTGGAATCAGATTCTATGAAGCTCTGAAGTCTGGAATGTTTCTGGCTTGGCACTCAGGACATGACGTGCGTGCTGGCAAAGAATGACTCTCGGCAGAACAAGCTCTTGGTTTACCGACGTATTCCGATGTGCCGATATTGTTGCAGGACATACTGTGAAAAGACGCCTTTCGCGAACGTCGAGCATCTTCGAAACAATAAGATACTACCGTGAACCATGAGCACGATTAGACTCTGGGCTGCCTTGATTTCGTGGGGGAAGCCGACGACCGCGGCTTCCGCCACCTTGAAATTTGGCTCACTCCAGGTGCAGGGAGCTTGTTGGGCTTTGCCCAGAGGCCCCGAAGTAGTTCCTTTATTGGGGTTCATACATAGAATCCTATAAGGTAATCCCAGAAAGGAACCACTATGGGGCTGCTGGGTGGAAGTTCAACTTGGAGGCGGAGCGGACGACGGGTGGGAAACAATGCTTCCAAGCTACATATAACAAAAACCGAAATAAACTCACCCGTCCTACTAATCAACGGCTTCGCCTTAACTACTGATTTCCAGCCGCTTGATCATGACTGCTGTGCAGCTCGAAAATCTTGCGACCCAAGGAAGCATTTATGGCTCAAGATGCTGGCTGACTTAGTAGCTTGGAATCTGTGGCAGCGGAACCTCGCCACAATTTGCAAAGGCTGGGGACTTGTGCCGAACGCGCAAGAGCGGACTCTTGATGCTCGTCAACGTATGGCTTCTGGCGAAACGTCTGGGGGCTGATGCTCGTGATGCTTGTCCGCCTTTGCGCTTGAGGTGGACCGTGCGGCGCCTGATGCGCATGATGCTCGAGAAATTGGTGGAATGCCGATGCTGATGATGCTCGTATGCATGCCGCTTCCGGTAGAAGGCATGTCGGCTGATGCCCGTGATGCTTGCTGGCCTTGCGCCACGCCGTGGCACGAATGGCAGCTGATGCTCGTGATGCTTCGCCAGACTCCGGGCACGTGTTGGAACGGGTGGCAGCTGATGCTCATGATGCTCGAGAACCTGCTGTGGCGGAGTGCGCGTGCTTGCCTTGGGCTTTGCGGTGGTACGTGGCTGAAGCTCGTAATGCTTGTAAATTGTAAACCTCGCGGCCTGTGGTATGATGATGCTGGCAAACCACCTGCGGAGACTGAGCCTTGCGACTCTTGGTGGCCTCGGCAATCACGGCCGCGCCGCGGACACTCATGATGCTACTGATGCTGGCCGGCCTTGTGGAACGCGTGGCAGCTGATGCGCATGATGCTCGAGAAGCTCGGGCCAATGGTGAAGCACATGGCGGCTGATGCTTGTGACGCTTGCCGGCCTTCGTCTTGTGGGAGTTTCCGAAAATAGGGGTGCCTTATTTGGGGGTCCTTACAGTAAGGATCCTACTATTTAGGGTACTATATTCGGGTCCCCCATTTTGGGAAACTCCCTTGTAGGGGTGATGCCGACGATGCTCGTCATCTCGTGTCTTCCAGTGCAGTGCATGCCGGCTGATGCTCGTGATGCCCGCTGGCGTTGGATCTTACAGCGGAGACAGAATGGTGGCCGATCCTCATGAGGCTTGCCGGTCTTAACGTTTGCGGTGCAACTTGTGACAACAGATGCTCATAATGCTAAAGAATGTCGCGTTTTGTGTCGGAACGCATCGCCAATGATGCTCGGGATGTGACAACCACGTAACCAACACCGAAAACCAAACCCTAAGCCCCTAAACCCTAAACCCAAACATCCAACCAACTTCCATAACCAACAACTGTTAAGCCAAGCCCCCATCCGGCCCCACAAACACTCGACTTTCGCAGAGGCTCAACACCTCAAAGCCTGTTTCTTAAAACCAAGAAGCCCCTGAAAGCCTGGAAACCCTGAAAAGCCCAAAGCCTAAAGCCACGAAACCCTCGAGCCCAAAAACCCTCAAAACTCTTCGAAACTCCCCCGATGCTCCAGATCTCTGAAATCCTCATCCCTAACCCCAAATACCCTACAGCCATCGCCATGGAATGCCTCGACTGTAGTTAAAGATAGCTACGTGCTACCATCCCAAACATGCAGGTCCCCTGCAGCTGTATCCAACCCTATGCGGTTTAGGGTTTAGGGTTTAGAGTTTAGGGTTTTATGAACTCTGTTCTAATTAATTGGGGCCACTCCCACAAGCCCAATCTCGATAACCCTGTTTCAGGCCTCCCAAAGCCCCCAACCAATCCTACCTAAAATCCCAAAGTCCTCAAGACACCACAGCACTTAAGCCCCCAAACCCTAAAAAAACTAAGCCCTACACCGCAAAGACCCTTAAGGGTTTAGGGTTTATAGGGTTTAGGGTTAACTTAAGGGCGCTGAAAAGCTCCGCCTTCGCATGTGCGACCAGGGCGGACTCGACTTCCGCAGTGCCGATTCGGTGACCCGAGACCTGGGCTTGCCCAGACCTTCCAAAATCCCTTAATTAAGGAATATACCTTAAATCATATTAGGGACCTTACTATAATTTAAGGTATATTCCTTAATTAAGGGATTTTGGAAGGTCTGGGTGCATTAGCTTTTAAGGGTTTTAAGGGTTCCTTTCCATCTGAGGAACAACACAATTACGGCTGTCTACTCTCCGCTGCCGACCGTCAGTGGTCCGGGCTCTCGGCTCTCCTGGTTGTGGTGTTGGCGCCGTTGCCGGTGTTGGCTGGGCAAAACGAGCCACCCGGAACACATCTAGTCCCACAACCAGCACTAATGCTGCGATCCTAAAAATCTGAAGGCCCGAAAGTCTCAAGGCCATCCAAATCCTGCTCCTTCGCTTTAGTTTAGGGTTTAGGGTCCTGTAAGGGTTACCGTAAGGTGTTAAGGCTTCGATAAGAGTTGCTATAAGAGCTTGGGGACATATGGCTTTGCATTTTGTTTTGCGAGTCCTTTTCCAACTGGCCATTTGGAGTGTAAGGGTTTAGGGTTAAGGGTTTAGGGGTTAGGAGGCTTGATTTAAGCTTAGGACTCAACGTTCAGGGTTTCGTCAGGCGTCGTCAGGTAAGTAAGATCAGCTGGATTCAATTCTCTGCCCCTTTCAACTTCTAGAGGGTCGTTCCGAGAGTGGACAAACTCCATACTAGATCCTGCATCCCCACATCCCTATGGACCCTGGACCCCAAAGCCAAGACTACTATCTTCGAAAGCTTCGGGCTCAAGTCTAGGCATGTGAAACCCCTGAAGCCCATCGAACCCTAAGCCCCAATGCCCTAATACATACTTGGAGGATCATGGGACTTAGTAAGTAAGGTTATAAGTACCCTAATTGGGGTTATAAGTATAGTTACCCTAATTATAACCCTAGTTACTAAGTCCCATGATCCTTTGAGTACCCTATAAACAAAATCAGCGGCCTGAGGATTTAGAGTAGGGCCGGGTATTGGGTGCTACAAATACGGACAAGTACGGCTGATTCTTCAGGCCCCGGTCTATTCTCTGATTTCTATTAAAGCCTACACTAAGCTTTGACGACTAATACCAGAGAACCCCTAAACCCTTCACCTCCCGAAACCCATACCCTAAAGCACCACTCAGCCTGAAATCTGCCAAGGGAGCATTGATCACATCGTCCATGCGCCCGGTGAGCCAGTAGAAGCCATCCTCGCGAAGGGCTGGGGCAGTCAGCATGCAAAGCCGTCGGCCTTAGCGTAGATTGGCTTTACTGTTTCGGGCTAATATCGGGGCCTCAATAAATGGAATAGGGTTTTGGGGCCCATTTTTCTATATAAATATAATAAGGAGACCCCCAAAATAGCATAGCATAGGTGATGAAGGCCTCTCTTTTTCAATACCCTTATAGCATCCCTTAATTATAGTAGCCCCTACAGACTCCTTTAAAGGAACACCAGTCTCCTTTATGTAGACCCCTCTATTATCTTGTCACAAGCCCTGCTTCAAGGGACTCGCTGAAATTGAATTGACAGGAAGGCTTCCCGTTTAAAGGTCTAGGGTTTAGGGTTTAGGGTTTAGGGACCCAAGAGTAACCTAGGAATAAAATGGGTGCCCTTTTTGGTTTAAAGGGGCCTATAAGGGAACCTGAACCCTTAAAAAAGGGAGTAAGGGCCTACTCTGGGTCCTAGGTTCCTTTGAGGGATCTATAAGGGTACTATAGTATAAGATAAGGGCCCTAATAAGGGTTCCCTTTTAAGGGCTTCCTTTAAGGGCTACCATAAGGGATCTATAAGGGTACTATAGTATAATGTAAGGGCCTTACCTGTATCCCCAAACCCTACACAATAGTACGTTATGACCCATTAATTAGAGGGCATAACCCAAAAAAACAGTAGGTTTTTGGAGCCCCAAGTAATAATTAGAATAGGGTTACCTTTAAAGGGCTCCTTAGAGGGATCTGTAACGGTACTATAAGATAAGGGCCTTAATAATTAGAATAGGGTTTGGGGGCCCATTACACCATACTTAAAATGAGGACCCACCAAAATAGTATAGGGCCCCTACTCCCCTGACCCAGCCTTGTCGCGCTTGCAGCCGTCCCCGGTGAAGTAGCAGCCATTAAACTGCGAGAAGTATGTCTCCTCAAAGCGCTGGTGGTCCCCATAGACCGTGCCTGAGAGGCACATCTTCGGGCGTAAAGAGATGTGGGTTTAGGGTGTAGGGGAAAAGCTCATGTGTATATATATATATATATGCATATGCATTCTATGTGGGTTTTTACAAATTCGGTCTCTTAATAGTGCTTGTCGCTGCTGCCGCAGCATGGTCTTTTTGGGCCGTTAGTGGGCCGTCTCACTTCCCAGGTTCTAAACACTTTGAACAGATGAGTGTCAATCCTGTCTAAGAGTTCCAGGTTCTCCCAAAAACGACCCCCAGACCCTACACTCCAAGGGTAAAAGGAGGGACCCTTAATAAGGACCCCTGCATATATACCCTTCATATAGCTATTATATACCCATTATATAGCCCATTATAGGGTAGGGGTCCGCATCAAGGGTCCCTCCTTTTCCCCTGTGCTGGACTTTGCAGTAACCAGTGAGAAAAAAGTATAGGCTTTTGTTTCATAATGGCTCCTTTAAGGAACAGGTACCAAAAAAAGTATTCAAGTATGGTACTCCAAACCCAGATTTGATACACCCTAAACCCTCAGACCCAAACCGTAAGACCACCCTTATAGGTTTTCAAGCGGCGCATCATGGAGGGAGGCGGCCTCTTGAGCACCAGTCGGCCACTGCACTCTCCCTCCAACTCCTCCGACAGGGTTTCGGGCTTAAGGGTTTCTGGTTTAGGCCTTAGGGCCGTTTGGGGTCTCGGGTTTAAGGCGTTTCGAGCTTTTTCTGTGTGATTATGAAGTATAAATGTTTCGGGTGTTTGCTTCTGCTTTGCCCAGGTTTTAAAATGTGCCGCTAAGGTTCAGTGGTTTATCTGCTGCTGCTTAGCGTTCTGGGAATTACGGATGGTTCTTAAGGGTTGCAGGGCGTTCGGGGAGCTCTTTTCAATTGGCGCTTTGTTTAGGGTTTTAATGGTTCTTCAAGGGTATTTTGGTCCCTATATTGGTGGGTTCTAAGTTATAGGGTTCAAACTGTTTGGCTGTCTTTTTGTGCAAAAAAGAGCCGCACCTTGCCGTGCTCATCCAAGATCGCGGGCTCGACCCCGAAGAAGGGAAAGCTGGCGGAACCCGGCTTGCAGTCCATGGCCCCCACCTGCCATGACTTCAGGGCGGTATTGGGTTTAGGGTTTAGGGTTTAGGGCTGCAAAAGGTTTCACGGTTTTTGTGCGAGTTGTTCTGAAAGGTATGGAGATGTGAAATCTTTGTAGGACGCTCTGCCTGTGCCGAAGAGTGCGGGCATTGAGGATTTATGGTTTCGAAGGTCATAGCTCTAGGGTCTGCAGCGGTTTTAGCCTTGAAAAGGTTAGAGTTCAGGGGCTTCGGCTGTTTTTTCTGTTGCTACTGTTTTTTCGGCGCAAAGATTATACTCAGATATTAGGCCTTTAAACATGGCCTGTGGCTGTTATATTCGGTTGGACTCAGCTGTAGCCGTGCTCGAAGTTTAGACATCTCTTCAAGACCAGGTTTCGAGACATCCAACACCAAACCATCCACCCTAAATCCTGAACCCTAAACCCTGACGCAGCCGTATGGTTTAGCGACGCTCCGAGGATCTCCGAGGCGTCTTGAGGGACTTACTTTGGTTATTATAAGGGACACGAGCTGAGAGACTGGATTCAAACTCCTGTGTGGGGCGCTTGCAGTCCTAAGTTTAGGGGCTCAGGGTCTAGCGTTTAAGGCTGCCTGTTCAGTTTCGAATGCCTTGCGCAGTCTTGCAAGGAAGGAGACGAACCTTCGGGTCTCCAGAGGATTCTCATTCTCAGCACTAAAATGTCCTAGACCCGAACCTCCACCTGTTCAAGGCTCCTCAACCTCAAGCGCTTTGGGATGCGAGCTCCAAGGCCTTACGGCTAATCTGAGATATCCTGATTCCTGAAGTCTCGCCCCTACTGTTCTCGATTCCTTTCCCTCTCCTCCCCTTCTCCCAGCACTCCGCGCCAGGGGGGTGATCAGGTGGCTCCCTGTCTCTGTTTGCCAGTACCTTTGGCCGCCAGGGAAAAGCCATCGTGCAACTCCATGAGAAGACAAAACAACTACAATGCAACAAATTGAAGCTTTCAGCATGTATACGCATACATACATGCATACATAACATAACATGTCAGAACACAACATAACATACCACACCATACAACATCATAGCACGGCATACATACACCGCATTGTACATGGTATGTGCATATGTATGTATGGGCGTATGTATCTATATGTACATATATCTACATATCTATATCTATATCTATATATGTGTGTGTGACATATATATATATATATATAGACATAAATATACAACAATACACATACAGACATGGGTATGTGTGTATGTGTGTATATATATATATATGTATATATATACATATATATACATATATATATATATATACATATATATATATATATATATATATATATACACACAGACATACATAATACAGGGGTCCAGGAAAGTGAAAGCACGACAACAAATATCGACTGACAGAAGATTCGTCAGAACACCACCGACGTACTTCCTTCCTTGGAACACAAACCATCAATCGACCTAGCACCCGAAATACTACAGACTCATGACAACAGTTCTGAAGAACAATACCCTAGAGCCGCGCACCTAAAACATCATACTCTATCAAGGGCCCTGCAGTGGAGAACCCATACTCTTCCACCACGCTAGACCTACCAGGCAGATCGCAACCCTAATCCAAGCCACAAGGCCCCTAAACCTGCCCTATGAACTTCTATAGGCCGCCTGTTAAGGAACCCTGAAAGTCTTACCCAGAGGCCCCAAAGTAGTTCCTTTTTGGGGTTCATATATAGAATCCTATGCGGTAATCACAAAAAGGAACTACTATGGGGCCTCCAGGTAAAGCTACCCTCAAACGGAAAGCAAACCCACTCGCTGAGAGAAGGAGGTGCGTGTCGGCAATGGCGCAGCGCCCACCGCCAACGACTCGGTGATACCATCTCCAGGCCTCGCAATCTCTTCGGAAGTCCTCTCTTCGTACATTCTACAGTATGCAAGTGCATGATATCGCGTATTATCGTATACGATGGTATACAACACTATCTTATAGTATACTATAATATCTTCTCGCATAGAATAATTGGTTACTGCATCCGTCCAGCATACAAGCATGCATGTGTACCTGCGCATCAACGCAAGTCAGTGTTTGTGTCTGTGAGTGGTTTTGCACATCCTCGTGCTTCCAAGCCTCCGCCCGTCTGTGCGCACATGCATGCGGACAGGACACAGATCCATCCATCCGTCCATCCGTCCCTCCGTCCGTCCGTCCATCCGTCCCCCCGTCTGTTCATCCATCTATCCATCCGCAGACAAACATACATACACACGTACGTACGTACGTACATATAGATACATATTGACTCTTGACCATATTGATTAATTGGTCCATCCATTCTGTCTTTCTTTCACACCTACACATTCACGCATTCATTCATCCATCCATCCACGCATGCATTTCATTCATGTGATTCATTTCCTGCATTCATTTCATGCATTTAATTCTGTTATTCTTTCATTTCAACCACTTGATTCATGTCGTTCATTTCATTTCGTTCTGGTCATTCATTCACTCAGCCAATCATCCATGCATACTACATCCATGCATGCATGCATGCATGCATGCAAACTCACATGCATACATAAACAGTTAAACTGACATATACATATATATATATATACATATACACATAGTACATGCACACTTCATGTGCCACTGTGCGTTTCTGCAAAAACAACTGGTCATATGCAGGTATGTGCTCGACAATGCGGTTCAATCCCATGTGTATGCGTCCCGCTGCAGCATCTGGGCACGTGCACGCCCGGACCCGAAAACCTTCACAGCATGGTCGAATTCCGCAATGAACTGGACTCTTGGTGTGCGCATGAAACAAGCCTGCCACTTTCGGAAGTAAGGCTGCCTCCACAAATCGAGAACCCCTAACTGAAGCGGGAAATGCACTCAAGATAAACTTCAGAAGTTGAAAACATGTTGTTGGCATGCGCATCTGTTGCTAGAACAGGCTGTGCAGACTCACATGTATATGAACATCTACACACCTGCGTGAGTGTCTGCATGTGTAGACGTATACCTGCATGTAGGTGGTTTGCAATACATGTCAAGCGCATATATGCGGGTATGCATACAAGGCATATGTACTTCAATTTTGATGTGAGTGCATAGCTGGCGCATGATCACAAAGACAAACATGCAGCACATGCAATGCAGACAGGCACACCTACTTGCAACTGCTTGCTTGCATGCTTGCTGACTTATTCACCTAAAGGGAACTCCAGAAAGTTGGAATATGGATTAATGGTAGGATCCCCTATAATTTACCTTAAAGGGGTTACGATAATGATATTCCAACTTTCTGGCTTTTACTGTATTTGCAGCCGTCAAACATCCTGCTTTGCCTGATCAATCTCTACGGGCCTCTGCTGCAGGGGCCTTCATTGGTATAATGGGGTTTTGGGGTGTGCGCAATACTGTAAATCAAATAAGGAACTCTAAAGCATCATATTGTTGGTACTGAAAGTCTTCAGGCTTCTGTAGTAGGCGTGTCTGCGACAGTCGCAGTGCAAAATGATCCCGGTCCGGCTGACCGTCAATGTGATGATGAAACGAATGTGGCCGTGGGTTACTGCATCGTCATCATCATCCTTACTTGCGCTTGATCTTCTTGTCTCACATTCTCAACATCATCGTGGTATCGGTAATGGCTCTCATCGCCATCATCGTGTTCTTCGTCAACGTCTTCTTCTGGAACCCAAAACCCTAAACCCCTAAACCCTAAACAGTGCTCGCCTCTGGGTTGATCGGCTCACCGACGGATCCCAGCAGTCGGAGGCTGCTGAGGTCGTTGCGGGTCACCGGCGCATCCCCAGATTTCATCAATGCCCGAATGGCGGTAGGGGCCGTGTAGAAGATGCTGACCTTTTTCGCTTAGGGCTTAGGGTTTAGGGCCGTGTAGAAGATTCTGACCTCAAGCTTTCAGGTGTCTGGGAACTTCGGGTTTAGGGCTTTCAGCGTGTAGAAGATGCTGACCTTGGGCTTTCTTTAGGTAAGCTTGGGCCTTGGGGGTGTACGGGCCCCGGGGCTTTGAAACACAGACCTAGGGCAACCCTAAACCCTAAACCCATCGTCTAGGGGCAGAAGTTGGGGTTTCGGCTTACAGTAGAAGCCAGAAAGTTGGAATATCATTATCGTAACCCCTTTAAGGTAAATTATAGGGGATCCTACCATTAATCCATATTCCAACTTTCTGGAGTTCCCTTTAGAAGAAAGCAGAGAGTAACTCGACTAAGCTTTCTGGACACCTGGCCTTGTATTTCTCGCAGACCTTCCAAAAGCGGTCCACCTCTGGATGCGTAGGGACACCCTCGAAGACGACCTGAAGAACGGAACGGGACAATAGGTGCATGAGGTTTGGGAGTTTAGGGTTTAGGGTTCACCTTAACCTACCTTTTTAAGGACTTCTATAAAGAAATCATAATAGGGAACCCTAAAAAGGTAGGTTCTTGAGGGTTTAGGGTTCAGGGTCTGAGGTGGAAGGGCTTGGGGCTTTCGAGTTTCAGGGCTTCTGGTTTGGTCTCAACAATTTGGAGCCATTTGGGGGATCCGAAACCCTGAGCCCGACAGCCAATACCTGTGGCCTGCGTGGCAGTGTTCAACATGGGGCCGTAGGTCACGTAGGAGTGTCCTGTGATCCAGCCACAATCGGCTGTGCAGAAGTACACATCCTCCGGGTGGTAGTCAAAAGTATACCTTTGCGGAAGTGTTCGCTTGGTCGCTGACTTAGAACCCCCTATAAGTGGGAGACATCTTACTTGACGCTCCATGCTGGTGCTAAGGCGCTTGGTCGTCGCAAAAGATCCTAGCATGTAGCCCCCTGTGGTGTGGAGGACGCCCTTGGGCTTTCCAGTGCTGCCCGAAGTGTAGAGCATGAAGAGGGGTGCCTCACTGTCCATCCATTCGCACTCGCACTCCTCCGGCTGTGTTTTGACAAAGTCGGAGTACCAAACATCCCGGCCTTCGACCCAACCGTGCTGTGCCTGCGATGCTCGCGGGGTGTCTTTGAGGCGTGCTACGCACACCACCCGTTTCACATTGAAGCCTTCCTTGGCGGTGATCTCACAGGCCTTGTCCGTGATGGCCTTTAGCTGCACGGGCTTGGCCCCCCGCATGACGCCATCGGCGGTGATCACCACGCTCGACTGTGCATCCACCAGCCGTCCCGCCAAGGACTCGGCGGAGAAGCCGCCGAAGACCACGGAGTGGACAGCCCCGATTCGGGCACAAGCGAGCATGCAGGCCGGGAGCTCGACGATCATCGGCAGGTAGACCGAGAGCCTGTCTCCTTTCTGGACACCTTCGGCTTTCAGGGCGTTGGCAAGCTTGCACACCATCTTCAACACGTCCGAGTAGGAGTAGGCTGCATGAGCATCCTCCAAATCGTTGCACTCGTAGTAGATCGCTGTCTTCGATCCGAAACCCTTTTCAACGTTTCTGTCCAGGCAGTTATAGCTGATGTTTGTGGTGCCTCCCTCAAACCATCTGATGGACACGTCCCCCTTGCTGCGATCAAAGTTGTACACGGGCCCCACCTTTTCGAATGGCTTCTTCCAGAAGAATTCCCGGGCCATGTCCCCCCAGAACTTCTCGGGGTCTTCCTGGGTTGCAGTTTAAGGTTACTCCCGTCATTTTGATATGGCTAGTTGCTGCAGCAAACTCTAGAAGACCAGAGAGGAAATCAAACATTTTCCCAGAGTGCCACCTGGCTTCTAAACTGGCTTTGTACATTGCTTGGTACTCCTCCATTGACTTCACATGCGCCTTCGCACGCAACTCGGGCGGGGGCGGAAAGGTCTCAGACACATCGATGGCTTGGTTGAAGTCTCCCATAGGAGGAGACTCGCCTTAAAAACCGCCGCGCTCAGGGCTTAAACAAAAATGGCTCTGCAATCTGGGATGCAACTCCTGTCTTTGAGATGGTCCCCGAAGCGCTCTTTGCGACAACATGGGAACTCAAGCCACCCCTCCAAAACCCCAACAACCCTAAAATCTCCAAAATGCTAAAAACCCACAACAAAAGAAACAAACAACTGTTAAGACCCGACGAAGATCCAGGCCGTGTTTAGGGAAACCGATCATTCAAGTTAAAGCCAAGAACGCAGAAGGCTCGGGAATCAATCATTACAGCAAAGCCGAAGCCTCAAACAAGAACGCAACAGTGGCACTCCCTCATCACCAGATGTATCTTTGATCTGATGTAATCATGTCGGGTACTTCAGCCAGGTTTGACGGGAGATTCGGATCAATCGCGAGGGATTAAGGGGGCAAGGGCGGATTTGATTTGCCACTCGACTACATGGTGATGAAGGAAGGAGGCCCGGCCAACTCCGACTGTGTGTCGCCTCAGTATCGTCAACATGCTGGTTATCATCGTCGTCGTGATAGCCCTGAATCGCTGCGGCAAGTGGCAGGAATCACAGCGGTGATGGCAGCGACTCATTTAGTGGCGAAGCACCAGAAGCACAAGAAGAGCACAAGTTGCAACACTAACAACCCTGCAGCCCTCCCCGGCTACCCCGGAAGCCCAACCATGAACCATGAACCCCTAAACCCCAAACCCCAAAACCCCAAAACCCTAAACCCCAAACCCCCAAACCCCTAAACCCCAAACCCCTAAACCCTAAGCCACATACCTCATCTGCTCGAATCCCCAAAACCCCCCCGAAAAAATCGCCTCAGTGCCCCTGAAAGTCTGAGGGGCCGGGCACTTTCTTGGGGGTCACCGGCAGAGGTGTGGACTCACTCAGCGGAAGGCCATCTCGGACGTGCGGTGCAGTGGGGTTTGGGGTTTAGGGCTTTGGGGTTTAGGGCCCGAAACCCTAAATTAGGGCTTTGGGGGGTGTCCGGTATGGCGGTATGGCTCTGGTCTTACTTCGGGGCTCATTCGGGGCTCAGGGTCAAAAGCCGGACAACCGAGCACGGGTGCCGCATGATTTCAAGAAAGTGCTGGGGTATAGTTGAGGCTCCCGTACAATTCGACCTTTCGTAAGTTCGATACTAGCTCTACTGCAAAGCCCCACGACAGCCTGCATATAAAGAGTAGCTGCATTGCGGCATGAAGCTAGAAGTTGTCAACTCAGCTAATTTTTGGCCCCAAGGTCTGTAATGTGGGAGGGTCTTTCTCAAGTCCCGTCACTGTTTGGGTTGAGGGTTTAGGGTTCAGGATATTCCGTGACACTTGCAGGGTATTCAGCGCGTTTGGCTGTGGATCGTCCCCAGCATTTTCAACCTTCAAAGCACGAAATATACGGGCCTTAATAATAGAATCAGGTTTCGGGGCCCATTATACTTTTTTAGTAAGGAACCACCAAAGTAATATTGGTAATCATTTAGGCCCCTATATAACCTGTCTGCAACGAGTTTCGGGCATCACGGCTAGTGATGGTGGGGGCATGTGCGGATTGGTCCAAAACTCGATGCCTAGAGCACTGCCCGGAACTGCCCTGAGGCCTTAAACTAAAGCCTGAACCTGAAACCCATTTATGGTTTAGGGTTTAGGGTTTGCCAAAGGATCCACCAAAGCCAGCCCTAAACTAAACCTGCGTCCGTCACACAACTTGTAAGCCTCACTTCACTACGAAGTCACAAACTGAACGCTACGCTGGGGCCCTCAATGCCAAACCCCGAACTCCAACAAACCCATCATAAACCCTCATGAACCCTGTGTTAAATCGTATAGGCCCCCTTGAAGCCCTATCACCAAATCAAACTCTGTACATTATAAGAAAACCGCGTAAAGCGCCTTGAATCCAAAAGCCAACTAAGATCCAAATTGCAAAGTTGAAAAACCCTAAACCCAAACCCGAAACCCCTAAACAGGATCTTGTTCCCGGCCTTTCTCTGCCAGGAAGATGATCCTCTCACTGAGAGGCTCGAAGTGCCGGGGGCTCTTGGGGAGAGTCTGGAATTTATAAGGGTTTGGGGTTCAGGGCTTATGGGATCTATGGGATTCATGGGGTTTGGGGTTTAGGGCTTACGGCTTATAGGGTTTGGGGTTTAGGCTTCAGGGCTTACAGGATTTATTAGGTTTGGCTTATGGGATTTATGGGGTTTAGGCTTAGGGTTTAGGGCTTATAGGGTTTCTAGGGTTTGGGCTTTAGGGTTCAGGTCTTATAGGGTTGACAAGGTTTGGAGGTTTTGGTGGCTTGGGTTGCTTCGATTCGAATGGGCTGTCTGCAGGGGTGAAATAGGGTGCGAGGTAGCAGGGCTTCTGGCAGCGCCTGACTTGTTACAATTACAATAGCAGGGTGGGTTGTATCGTCTTATACCCTACTATTTGCTTAAGAGCCCCCAAAAAACTAAAAAATATACTCCTTATGGGGGTAATATAGGGATTATTACTTTATTTTTTGGGGGGTTCTTAAGCAAATAGTAGTACTGATACTCTGCAAGGAGGCCGATCAAAGGCCTTGAACGCTGCAGGCTGTAAGGCCAGGTTTTTTTGCTTTGGAGGCTTGGGGCCGGCGGTTTAGGGTTTAGGGTTTAGGGCTCGATCGTCGCAATCCAAGATTGCCCGCTCGTGCGGAAGCGGCAGGAGCTGCTGGGAAACTTCGGAAATCTCAAGCCCCCATGCCGTAAGTACCTCTGGCCTACCACAAACCCCTAAACAAAGTGGACTGAAACCCAACCCTAGCTAAAGCGACCTAACGAAACCCCGAAGAACCCCTATGTTAGGGGCCCTGATGATTAGAATAGGAAACACTAGAGCATGACTATGTAATCAGTAGATACTCTCAGGAAAAGTATTGCTAAATATTTCAGGCCGCTGACAAACCCTCAAAACACTTCTGACTTCTACCTGCCCGGCCCTTAAGCTATGCTAAAACCTAAACCTTAAACCATCAATTAGGCTGGGTCGCCCCTTTTTTGCCTTTAAGCAGGGCCCAAAGGGTCCTCTTCGAAGAAGCCTCCAGCTGCTCTGCTAGGGCATCCCTGAGTTTGCAGGAATCGTTGGGGTTACCTGTAGTCTCCATTGTAGTTCCTTTTTGGGGTTACCTTATAGGGTCCTTACTATATATTTGGTTAAACCAAAAAAGGGAACTGCAATGGAGAATATAGGTAGAGTCTGAGCTTAGGATTCAGAGTTTAGGGCTTAGGGTACTGTAAACGGCTGCCATAGTGGAAATTGTACAGAGGTTTTCAAAGGGTTCCTATAGTGGGGTGTACATGACTTTATCATGGGCTTACCTGTGGGGGACCGGGCCATGGGGATCGAAGTTCAAACAATCGAGAGAGGGGGGGTTGGGGTTTAGGTTCTAAGGTTGCATGCGGGGGTGAGGCCTACTAAAGGGAATGTATGGAGTTTAGGGTGCAGGGTAAAAAGGCTTCTGTGCTTAGATAAAGCTTTTCATGGGCGCTTGCGCCGGGGTTGTGGGGGGTGTATAGGGCTCTGATACAACATGGCTCCGTAGTTTTTCTTCTTTGAAGCGGGGGCAGGGTTGTACCAGGCTTCAGTCTTGAACTTTCTCCGCACTTGCGGTGTCCGAATATATAGTTCTGAAACAGGCTCTGCCTCGCCCCAAAGAAACCCAACCCTCTGGCAAGTTTAGCACTCCTGAGCTTGAAAATCCAAAATCTGTACTATAAAGAAGCTCGGCTATACCAACCATGACTCCCGACTGAACACTGAATCCCGAACCCATGATGCAGGAGCTTTACTGAATCATTAGAATCGGGTGGTGGGATACTTTTGTATGCTTCTACGTATTCAGGATTTTGAGGAAACGCATTGCTAACCGACACCTCAAATCACATGCGATCTAGTTATTCGACCATTCCTGCAAAATCCCGAGAAGCCCTGAACCCTAAACCCTAAACGACCTCCATGAAGCTTAAAATAGGGGCCTGAAGAATTAGATTATAAGGAGCCCCCAAAACAGTATTGGTAATTCTTTAGGCCCCGCATACCATAGATCCCTTATAGACCCCCTTAAGGAACCCGTAAAGGAACCCCCCCCCCCCACACCCCTCAAAAAAAAATAGTATACTTGCCAGGTGGTTCGGGGAATCGTGCATCCAAAGTGCTGCTGCACCTGGCGCGATCTCAAAAAAAGGGGTTTGGGGTTTAGGGTCACCGGGTTTAGGATTTAGGGTTCAGGGTTCTGGAGTTAGGCTTTAGGTTTGTATTGTAGGGTTTAAGGCTTAAGGTGTATAGTAGACTTTGGTGCTTGGGCCCCAGTATACTAACTTTGGGTTTTGAGTGTGGCCTCTTGGGGCTTAACGGACGTCGTACTGCTTTTCGCTTGCATCTGTCCTACAGGTGCCCCTGACGAGACCTTTCAATCCAAGGCGTCCACACAAGCCCCAGTCCCAAGCAGCAACGTCGAGCCAAGTCTGGAGGCCAAGCCCAAGCCCAGCAAGCAACAGCCAAAACGGTCCAAAGCCTGAACCCTGGACCTGAGACCATATTCCCTAGACCCAAAGCCCCTTGTAAGCCTTAAACTCCAAGCAAAAAGCATGGGAGCCAAAGCCCCAAGTTAGAATTAGAAGGGCGGCAGTCGCGAACTGTCAAAATGCCCCGCAGAAGGGGCGCCCTGTGCCCCCGCCAAATCAGCACGAACAGCCCCGACATCTCGAGAGAAACCGGCCCGACTTCTTTATGGCTTAGGCAATTACTACAACCCGGTCAGGCCCGCAAACCCAGAACCCCGAAACCTTTAATTACTTAAACCCGTGGCCCAAAGCCCCCATAAATAAATAACCCTAAACCCTAAACGCCTGACCAAAACCCCCATAAACAAATATCCCGACAAACCCTAAACCCCGAATGACCCTCATGTGACAGCAAAACAATAATCCGAAACCTTCAAACCCCTAACCCAAAACCCCCATAAACAAACAACCCCAAACCCCAAAACCCCTAATGTGACAACAGAACAGTAACCCTAATTCATGGCTGGGATAGGATAAAAAAATAAGTTTGTATGCCTTGTTGGTTTAACTATCCATGGATATGTAAAATGTTACCCAACTATGACAAAGAACCCCTAATGTGACAACAAACACGACACTAACCGGGCACCTGAGCTCCGCCAAAGCCGAGCCCGTCGCCGATTTCGGCGCGGAGCCCTGCGACCTCGGCGGCGAGGCTTGAAAATTCAGTTTCCTTGCCTTTGGTTAGTAGGGAATGGAAGAATGACAGTAATGGTAGTAAAAACTGTACCCCATTCCTCCATTCCCTACTAAACAAAGGTAAGTTTCAGGGCCTTGATAGAAGGCCATATAGGGGGCCGTAATCAGGGCCTTGTAGGGTTTAATTTAGGTTGTAGGCAAGGGGCCTTCGAAGGCTTTGGGGTATAGGGCTGAGGGCTTGCAGGGTTTAGGGTTACGGGCTTACGTGGGCCTTAGGAACAACAGTGTTTGAGGCTTGAAGGCTTCAAGATTTGGGCGTACCCAGGACTCCCAGGACCCAAGATTCCTGAAACCCGAAGCCCTAATACAGGGGCCTTAATAATATTTAGACTAGGGTTTGGGGGGTTGCCTTCATATACACATTTAGCATGATATACCCCCAAAGCCTAAAGCCCTATAGTCTAATTGTTCAGACACCTACATTACAGAAGTCTGCTCTTGGGCTCATGGTCTAAGGCTCCAGGCTTAGGGCAGAGACCTCAAGACATGTCTTTTTTCTGAGCACTGGGCCGTTCGGCAGTTGTCCGGGGCCGGTATCGACTGAAAGCTGACAGAACCTGGCTTCTGAAAGGTGGTCGGATTGGTGGTCTGTTGAATTAGATGCTACGATCCAGATGGTTTTCGGTGCCTTAGGGTTGCGGCTGTGCGGCTTTCGGGTTCGAAGCCATAGGACGTCAGGAGTTTAGGCTCAGGTCCCATGCCTGAACGGTCGGAGAAGCCAATCAAGTCACAAGCAACTAGACCTCCACCCTCAACGCAAAACCAAGGCCTGCGAGTCTGGTAAGAACCTGACAGCACGAAATCCTGAGGCCTGCCGTTACTCCGCTGCTGTTGCTCCTCCTTCTACGACTCCTCCTTCTACTACTATTGCTGCTGCTGCTCCTGCTACTACCCCTACCACCACTAGCACTACCACTACTAGTGCTGCTGCCCACTACGGCCAGTCTATGCGAAAGCTTGGGTTTCGGCCGTTCGATTTTTGGTTCCGTTTGCAGCGTTGCCAAACGAGAGGAATGCACTATAAAACTGCTGCCGGTTCTTACAGTGGGTTTTGCACCGAAGACTTGTTAAACACTTCAATAGTCTAGGGCAGCCTACGGATCCAAGCCCTAAGCTCATAGCCCTTCAACATCCCCCTCGCCAAAAGCACATCGTCTAAATCCCACACCTGGCCTGCAACAATATCGAGGACTGGCATCTTGCATGGTGGCCAGCTTCGGATCTATTTTGTGTGGCTTGCGTGTTTGTGCATTTGGAAATATTTACTCTGTTTTCGCTGGCTAAGTTCTTGTTGACATCAAATGGCTTGTGGATTGATACAGGGCTTCTGTACACAAACGAACAGTGTGCATTTCCGCCTCTCTCCGTCAAACTCTTCGAGACGGGCCTCAAGTTAACCATGCACGCATCGCTGCGTCTGCTACCCTAAACCCTGAGCCCTTCTACAGTAAAAGCCAGAAAGTTGGAATATCATTATCGTAACCCCTTTAAGGTAAATTATAGGGGATCCTACCATTAATCCATATTCCAACTTTCTGGAGTTCCCTTTACGTCCATCGGAAGCCAAGCTTGTGCAAAGAATCACAAATGGCCGCGGGGAGTTTGCGAGAAGTCAACGTCAGCCTTGCGTTCTAAGTCAGACCAATTGCTCGGTGCGGCTAGGGGCCGTAACAAGCAGAAAAGGGTTTTGGGGGCATATTATTCAATAGTTATCCCCCAAAATAGTATTGGTAATTCTTTAGGCCCCCCATACCTATAGAACCCTACTATAGATGCCTTATAGACCCCCCTTAAGGAACCCTTTAAAGCAAGCCCCTGCAGTATGGCCTCCGAAACAAGGGGCTGCTGGGTTAGGGACTCTGCGGGGCTGTTGCTTCGGACTTAGAACTCGGAGTTTAGAGTTTGGGATTTGGGAATGTCCGAAGATCGGGGGCCCTTTAAAGGGTTCCTTAAAGGGATCTATAAGGGTTCCATAAAGAGATTAGGGTTTAGAGTTTGGGATTTAGGGCTCAGGGTTTAAGGTTAAGGGTTTAAGCGTAAGGCCTTATAAAGCCTTAGGGTTTTTTAGGTTAAGGCATTAGGGTTTTAGGTTAAGGCTTTAGGGTTTAAGGTCAAGGGTTTAGGGTTTAAGGCTCAAGCTTTAGGGTTTAAGGTTTATAGGGTTTAAGGTTTAGGGTCTTAGGCTAAAGGGGCCGGCTTCGGGTTTAAGTTCCGGGATATCCCCTGGATAGCAAATAGAGGCAGGAGCCGCGAGAAAGGAACCTCCATCCTTAACTAGGTTTTCGAAAGCAACATTTCCCAAAATTACTTAACAAATCAGGGCTCTGTATTGAACAGTAAGGGAAATTAAAATTTTCACACATTAATAGTGAAGGACCTCGGTCCAACCCAGTTTGCCCCAATTGTGATGCCATCGATAACAAGGGTCCCGCACTGCGTCTCTTGAAGCCGAGGTAGCAACGATGGTAGCCCCCCAAAATGCAAGGAGCCTGTGGCGCAAAACATCGAAACTTCACGTCGCAACCAACTTTTCTCTGTGTTGTCGGCTTGCCCTCTCTAGACATAAAGGGACATGGAAGTGCCATGGTGTAGTTGAAATGGAACACGCTTCATCTCCAAGCACGGGGTGCAAGGCTTGGAGAAAGCGTAGCTGCGCATAGATCAACCTAAAGTGTCAACCTACCATATCTGAATTTGCCCAATTCCCAGACATTCAGGCATCAAAGCGAGCATCCGCAGAGGAGATGCCAGAACGTCAGAGAGAGGAGCTGCCCACAATCAACAGTAAAGCAAACAAAAACTATACAAGTAGGATATAGAGAAATTCAGGGCTCCTTATGACATTCAACTTTGAACCTAGAGAAATCAATCGCAGCCCAAGTCCGAATGACTCAGACCTCACGTGCGCTGGTCCGCAGGCGAGCAGCCTCTCAGGAAGCTGCGAAGAGAGATCGGGGTTGATCCCTTTTCACGGGAATGTTCATCAGTCACCAGGGAAACCTAGAAGATGTAGGCCGTCTGAGCTGTTTGAGAGGCTTGCAGAAGTGAAGGTGGAAGCGGTCACGGCTCTTCGGTCGGCGTTTATATAGGGTTTGGTGTTCAGGTTTATCATAGACTGTAGACGGTTTCTGGTGTAAGGTCTATAAGCTTCAGGATCTAGGCTTCAATCAACAAGAGCCTAGCAACCTCTAGTACTAGTACCACCCGAAAAACGCTGTAAGGGCTTGAAGTTTTGGAGTAGGGAAGTAGCATTACTAAGAACCAATAACCTTTAAGACCGCGAGTTTTTTCAATCGAACCCCTGCTCGAATAGAGCAAGGTGTTGCCGACAATTCCAACGATGACCGCAACAGTACAAAAAAACCGAAGCCCAAACTTGATCTATAACAAACGCATGCCCAGCTCCACCTATAATGTACCCCGAATGTCTCATCTAGGAAGGCCCGAAAGTACACGCTGTACGACCCTCTGAAACGAGTGAACACCCCAAAAACACCCCACTGTATCAAGGCTCCAGCAGATCTTCTCGGCCCCAGGAAAAGGGTGCTCCAGCAATGACGACAACAGCAACAGACCCTCTCCTAAACCCTAAACCCTAAAACCCTAAATCCTAAACCCTAAACCCTAAACCCCCTAAACCCTAAACCCTAAACCCTAAACCAACCCTAAAGCCCCAAACTCCTTGAAGCCTGTAACACCTGTCAGGTCGTGGCAATAGCTACAGGTTTCGGAATTTAGGACCCTAGACTGTAGGGTTTGCCTATAATCTCCATTGTAGCTTCTTTGCTGGGCTACCTTAAAAGGGTCCCAGGTATGAAGTTGGTTAAACGAAGATGAAAAGGAACTGCGATGGAGACTATAGGTAGGGTCTTAGCTCCAGAAAAGCCTGATGAATCTAAAACCCCTGAACCCTAAGCCCTAGACCCCTAAAGCCTCCAAACCCTAAGCCCTAAAACCCTATACTATAAACTCTAAATTTCTAAACCCTGAACCCTATAATCCCTAAAACCCTAAAGCCCTATATGCCCTATGCACCCTAGAACCCTATAAGCCCTATAAGCCCTACCACCCTAAAGCCTGATGAATCTCCTGTTTCAGCTCTGCCAGGCTCTGCTGGAGCTTTTCCTCGGCTTCGGCTTCAAAAACTCTCTTCTTCAACAGCCGGCCCCAAAAAAGTTCAAACTTTCTAAGATAGAGCTAACATATAAAGCGAAAAAGTTTAAAGTTCCCCTGGCTATCTAAGAAGAAAGCTTCTGAGGCTTTTGGGCTGA